AGGCTCTGGATCTGCCACTGGCCTGAGCTAAGGAATGCATTATATAAACAAGCCAAGTGATAAGCAATGAAGCAGGTGGATGGAATGCTCTGTTTAAATGTTAATAGAATAGAAATAATTTTAAACACAGACACTAGTGACAGAGAAGACTCAGTAATTAATTTTACTTTCTAAATTTTACAAGGTCCCATTGTAAGTAAGGGGTGAAATTGAGTTTAGACATGTCAATCCTAGAAATTTAGATCAAAGTCGTTGCCACAAAGACTGAGACAAACGCTTTGAACTGACAGCAAATTTAAGTTATGGTAGTCAATTTAAATAAGCCAATTGACGTCTAAATCGTCATCAGGAAAAGTTAACTCTTTCCTGGATATGAAGGTTTACTGAGGCGAGACTGCCCTCTATGGATCAAATACCTAAATTGCAATCTGCAGGTTGATCACACCTTCAGTTTCCTATTGGCCTTATCAACTAATGACGTACAGAGAGTCTGGCCCTTTAAAAGTTAGGACAAAGGGAAGAGAGAGGTTAGTTAGTAGAGTTTTGGGCATTCAGATTCGGACATGCAGAGAGATCCAGGACACTCTGGCACTAACCCTCAAACTCTCTTGGACACAACTCAAGAAACACTCCTTGACACTTAGAATTTTACTCTTACTTTCTAACCAACATCACTTTTCTCTATTACCTGCACACTTCCATACAACCAATCATACTCGCATCCAAGTTCCTGGGACTTCCTACTCATCTGATGAGAATATCTATATAACTGGTAATTATGCTGGTTTTATTTAATTAATCTAAATTAATTAAAATCTAATAGCATATTATGTGACTGGATAAATCACGATCAGATTTCAATATTTAGAAATCTTAGTTAACTAAAGAATATATAGTTATAAACATTCCATTCTGCAGGTGGAATTAAGAATAATTATATATTAATGTGATATTATCACGTGTTAGCATACCGCTGTTTTTATCTAGGTGTATTGATTTGCTCTAATATAAGATAAGATATCTTTTTAGGCAAATTAAAATTTGGCTTTTGTAAAAATCTGGTAGATTATTCTTATTGGATGGTTCCAGGAAATGATTAATGAGCTGGTTCGAATGTTATTTTAATTGAAAATTACATGAGAATAGGATAGTATATGCCTAGGAGGATCTAGCCAGCATTGAAAGGGTTACTCAGTTGATTTAACTGTTAGCCAAGGTTTTACAACTTTTCGCTGGGCTGTGTGAAATTTTGCATTCGTTGTACTGAGAAATTCCCATTAATCTTGTCTTGACAGTTGATTCTGTAGATTGTACTGTGTTTAGCCATTGCAGTGTATACTTATGTTATACTAAATACTCACTGACTATTATCATGCATGCTGCCTAATTTTGTTATTTTATTTGTCACAATAAATTATATCTATTTTTATAACAAATTGTGATTTTATTTGTATGGAATACATTTCACTTACATGATAACGATCTCTAAGATCTAAGAGAATTGAAATATTGGGCAATTCTCAACTGTTTAATATTATCATCCCATAAATATCCCCAAACTGCTGAGATCACACTGCTGAGATCATTAAGTTGAAATTATATTCCATACAATAATTCTGAGGCGTTGCTATTGAGTAATTCATGCAATATTAATCTTGATATAAAAAAAAGTTTTTCCCTTAAGCATCCTGTATAAGCATCTAAAGATTAAAATGAATTATAAAGAGTGGGTACTCCAAATTAGAGAACAAGTTTATAATTCGATTCATGATAGATCGGATAATTCACCTATGGTTAAACATTTTAGCAACATAGACGAAGACTCTACAATGCAGTTTGTTACCAAATCATGCCTGTTTTTCATATTGGGTTATTCAATTATGTTAAAAAAAGCATAATGAGATATAACTTAAATTGGACGAGTGTCAGAAAGACCTGGTGCTCGAACAAAGAAGGTTCAACACTTTGTCTGAGGAAAATAATATCCTTCAGGTTGAAAACTCTGACCTTTCAAATAGACTGGAAGGAATGAGCAAAATGGTGGATGATTATGATCGACAGATAAAACAGATACAGATACAATTAGATGAATATCAAAAGAAAAGTGAAAAATTACTGGGAAAAGACCCAGGCGATTCTTCTCAATTCCCTGATATTCACACACCAGACCAGGTTTTCATAAAACAGTCTCAAAGAAAAGATGTGAGTAATTCTAAAAAATCACCTGTGGAACAAGATTCCCAATCTCCTGACATTACCAAGCAATCTTGGCAATCTTGGGCAGAACAGTTTGAAAAGACTGTCTTGGCCAAACTTGACGGAGGGAATCAGGTTCAAGGTGATAGGAATGAAAACAGACATGGTTCTGTACACTGGCATAACTCTGATTCTGATCAGAATTGTGACAGTGAACGAGAAGCTCAGAGTGATGGGAGTGAAAGTCCACTCTGAAGGCCATGTGAATGATATGCCATCTGCTCTGTTGTACGGATCTAATTCCTCTTCAGCAGCCAGATCGCATTGACGTTTACCAAAAAGAAGGGAGAATAGAAATAGGATTAATAAATCAAATATGCCTGTTTATGAAATGCCAAAGGTTATTAAATTCCTCAAAGAGACAGTCCCACAATTTTCTAGAGGTTCAGGAAACATATCTGAACATCTGGAAAATTATGAAAGAGCCATGAATTCATTGGGCATGTATGATGACATTCATAAGAAATGGTTAATTACATGGACCTTTGATTCAATGTGTCGTGTTTATCTAGAAAGTCTTCAAGCTATACAGTTAATGTCCTGGTCCAAGATGAAATATGAAATAATCATGGAATATGGTAAGTATAAAACCATTGCCTCTGCAAAGAAGGCGCTTTATAACTTAAAGTGTCGTCCAGATCAAAGCCCCAGAGGCCCAAAGGAAACCCAGGTATGAAAGTACAGACTTCAAAGATCTGTATTTTCATGCCATGCCGGTAAACATACAAATGAATCTCGCAAGAGATTATGATTGTAAATTACCATTAGAATGGCTAGTCAGTCAGTGCATGAAATTGTATACTATACACCATGCACATGACGAAAATCAGCCAAAGGTTAAGAAACCTGGTGATAAAATGGTGTCAGAGACTAAAATTCAGTTAGGTTTAGAAACCCAACAGAAAAAGAGGACCTATTCCGAGGTTTTGAAAACACCAAAACCTCAGAAATAGGAAAACGACAGAAGCAATTCTGCAAATTCCTCTAATAACTCTGAAAAATCCAATGCCAATGGGAATAAACGCCCCTGGGTTAATAAGAACCAAGGCAATTCCCAATGGAGAAGGAATCCTCAGGGAAATAGGAGATATGGAAACAGAAATAACCAATCTGATTCCAATAACTCCCAACAGTCTCAGCCATCCCAGCCAAATTCTAATGGGCAAAGACAAAACGGCAATGGGGGAAATAATTTGCGTCGTCAGGTTGGTCGATTGACAGACCAGATGGGCAAATTAATGGAGGAAATGACAAAGATTAACGAAGTCTTTGCCAGAAATCCTTTTTTAGGGACAGCTACAATTGCAGAGCCGCCTGTGCAACTGCAGCAGCAACAACAGGTGCCGCAGCAATAATAGCCACTGTGACTAAACAGGCTAGGTTGTAATACCTAACCCTGTTTCCTTTCCAGATACTCACAGTCAAACAAACAATAGTTGTGTTAGGAAACCTATTGCCTACCCCATCACTTCACTTCCGGGTGAAGGAGGCGCAACGTGTTCCTCTGCTTTTTCGTTTCAGCCAAAGGCTAAAGTAGCCCCAGCAGCCACAAGTTTCCAGGATCCAGACCTGAAAGGGTGAACTGATGAGATGCCGACCACTAGTTCCCGCTTGACAGTTCAAGATGTTCCTAAAAAGGATGGGCCTGTGGGTAAGACTGAGCATTCCTCAGTACAGGTAGAAACTACTGCTGTGACAGGTAACGTATGGAAAACTAGTGATATGTTGACACATTCTTATGTGAATTAGAAGAACATGAAGGAAGGTACTACATGTCTGTAGAAATACAGGATACGCTACCCCAGCCTTTCAAAGGGTTAATAGATACTGGTTCACAAGCCACTATCTTATCCAATACCTACTTCCAGCAGGTAATGGACTAAGCAACGGATAAACCGAAGCTAAGAGATTTCCCCAATGCTCTGTTGAGTGTAGGAGGAAATTCCCTTCATGTTATTGGCAATACCTGGTTAAAGTTTAAAATAGGTAACAAAACCTTTAGACACCCGGTGATAGTGGTAGATCTCCCCTATGACCGACTGATTCTGGGTATAGACATACTCAGAAGACTTAACACAATTATTGACTGTGTGAATGGAATTGTATGGTCACAAGCTAAGGTTCCTATAACCTATGAGAAATCACATGTTCAATCTGATCGTAACTGCCATGTGATAGAAGAAAGACCTGACTCGATTGAGGTACATTTTAGGAATAGTCAGTCCCCTGACGTGACTATCCTGCAGGTGAATGATGCAATCGCACCTGTAGATGAGCATTCCGTAAGAATTGCTCCAGAGAGGATCCAGAATGTCTCTCTAGAAGGTGATGTTTTAACCATTTCTCTCCACAGGGACTATGTTGAATCTGTAGATCTGGCAGGTCATGCTCAATTCCTGGCCAAAATTGAAAGGGTTAATAACAACTTATTCTTTCCTATTCAGATAAATGACTTAGGAAGAAGTAGGAATGCAAAGCTGGACTTACAGAGTGAGAACAGCTATATTAGCAGAAGTCTGTTAAAACAGATCACTAATCCTAAAATGATCAGGTATGCTTCCCCACATGACAGGTGGATCCAGAACCTGGATGGCGAATCAGAGAGTCACAATGTGATAGCAAAATGTTTACTATCTATTTCCATTGGAAATAAGACCGTTAAACATTTATTCCTAGTGATAAACGAACCTCGCTATCAGGTTTACATCGGCAATGATGTCATACATCGCTTTGCCATACACCTTGACCTGATTAATTCCAATTTGTGGACAAGGTTAAAAGGTAATCCTTGTGGATACCTACACGAGGAAAAACCCCTGAAATCAGGACACATACTCCCAAATGCGGTAAGTATTCAAGTTCCTGATGACATAACCATTCCACAGGGGACAAGTAACTTTCTTTTACCCCTACAGGTCAAGAAGGGTCAGAGATTGGAAAACTCTGATGCCCTAATCTGTTTATCCAACAGGATACAACAATTAGGGATGGTGGTAACACATACACCAATGGTAAGTATTGGTAAGAATCCCACCTATATAATGGTCAACAATGTTACACCCAATAGTGTTACTTTACCAAAAGCATTGGATGCGGAGTACTACACATTTGGTTTCCAAAACCAAATTATAGGCCTCATCCCTGAAGAATACTTAACTGAGGACGAAATTGTGGATCAAATATTCCATTCCTCCCCAGAAGGATTATTCACTATCCTCTCTGTGTATCCCTTCAACGTCGAAGAAGGCTCGTGTAAAATCGAAGAAGCATCAATCACCTTCGATCATCCGCTCAATGAGCAGGAATCACAAGAGTATCACGACCAAAGAGAAAAGGTAAGTCAACACCGAACTGACCTAACTTCTAGGCTTGAAGAAGCTTATGAGATAGGCCAGCCTGAAATCTTTCCAGGATTTCAGGAAAGGCTAGAAGAGCAAATATCTTTAGCTGACGGTTGCTCCAATGATGCTGAGCGGCAACAGCTAAAGGAAATCCTAATGGAATTCCAAGATATTTTTGCCAAAGATTCCTACGACTGTGGGTTAACTAACCTCCACATAGCCAGAATACAAACTGATCCAAATTTACCACCTGTATTTATCAAACAATATAGACTCCCATTAGCGTCATATGATGGTCTACAAGACATCATTCAGAATTTAAAGGAAAGGGGCATTATACGTCCAGTTCACAGTTCGTATAATAATCCGATCTTGGGGATTCTGAAACCTAATGGACAATGGCGTTTATGCGCTGACTTACGACAGTTAAATAAACGCGTCCAAATGTCTGGTTGGCCAGTGCCATACATAGACCAATGTTTGGTACAAATGCAGGGATCCAAAATATTCACTGCCATTGACTGTGCGCAGGGATATTGGACTGTACCAGTCCATGATGAAGACCAATACAAATTGGCCTTCACATTTGGAAAGCAGCAGTATACCTGGACCCGTATGCCCTTCGGTTACATAAACTCTGGTCATGAATTCACTGTATTCATGCATAAAGCTATACCTGATGCACTCGAGAGAGAAACGTTATCATATGTCGACGATGTCTTGCTGAAAAGAACTTCCTTTGATAAGCATATGATAGAGATTAGACATGTTCTCACTCAGTTAAGAGAGGCAGGGATAAAACTGTCTTTACAAAAGGCGCAATGGTGTCGCACCCATGTCAATTTCCTCGGACATGAGGTAACTTCTGAAGGATTAAATCCTCAGAGGAAGAAGGTTGAAGCTGTAATAAGGCTAAAACACCTTCAAACATCAGGGAATTAAGATCGTTCCTTGGTATGACTAATTACTCCCGTAAGTTTATAGATAACTATGCAGAAATAACTAAACCACTCTTACACCTGCTTAAAAAGGAAACTACCTGGAACTGGGGGAGCCTCAGGACCAAGCGGTAAGTGAACTGAGGAGGAAGCTCACTCAGGCACCCTGTTTAGCATACCCAGAGGGGGGTAAACCCTTCTATCTGGAGACAGGATATACCGATTTAAGCATAAGTGCTGTTCTGTATCAGAAGCAGGATAGTCTTAACAAAGTTATTGCATATGTTAGCAAGACTTTGTCATCTGTTGAAGTTAAATTCAACATGTGTGAGAAGGCGTTATTGTCGACTGTCTGGGCACTACAAAATTTTCGTAGCTATATCCAAGGTGAGAAAATAATTGTAGAAACAGTTCACCAACCTCTACAGTATCTGCAGAGTGAAAGAATTAGAGACGGTAATCTCTCTAACAGTCGGATTACTGCATGGACTCTATCCTTACAGGGATGGCCGTTAGAAGTCCGTTATAAACATAATAAGAGAAGCCCAGTTGCCCAAGGTTTAGCAGAATTACATGACTGTACTGCTCTATCTCTGGATGATAATGACACCGGAGATGACTTCCTAGAAGAGCAATTGCTATCCCCTTATAAAGTTTATGACGAGGAATACTGTCGACCACTACCGTGGGTATACATTGATGGTTGTTCATATCACCACGCCGCTGGTGCTGAACGGAAGTTAGTTGCAGGTATCGGAATCGCCTGGACAGGTGATTATCCTAATGTATCTATAGGATACAATATTGGTCCCAAAAGCAGTCAGATAGCCGAACTCTGTGCAGTATATAAGACAATTCAAATGGCAATAGAATATGGTATCAAAGAATTTGTTATTATAACTGATTCCAACTATGTTCGCAACAGTTTCGTCGAATATCTGCCTAGCTGGAAACGTAACCAAATGCTGAAAAGCAATAACAAACCTAAACATTGATGATCTTATGGGTTCAATTCATGTTGAAGCCATAACTAGACGACAGGCTAGAGATAATGCCGACTTACACGTCGTGCAATGGAGTCAAGAAGCTCCTAGTGAGGACCTGATTACCAGTCAAAAGAATGATCCCGTCATAGGCATATTCTATAGACATATAGAAGACCCTACTGCCAATTCCATCACAGATGAGGATTGCAAAGATAATGAAGATTTACGAATCTTGATGAGATATAAAGTCCAATTTAGTATCATGGATGGGTTGGTGGTCAGAACTTCTAAACATGGTATACAACAATGGGTAGTCCCACCTGTATACAGAGGGTTAATGCTCCAACACGCACATGATGCACCTACATCTGGGCATCGTGGTGATAAGATCACATATGAGATATTGCGTGATTATGCATATTGGCCACACATGTTAAGAGATGTTAAGACATACTGTCAGGGATGCTTGATTTGTTCGCAATATCAACCCCATGGTCCAACCCATAGTGCACCACTTCAGAAGAGGGGGGTGTCATTATATTCACATTGACTTTAAAGGTCCTGTAACAAGATCTTCAAGAGGTAACAAATACATGTTAACCGTTACATGTATGTACACAAAGTGGATAGAATGTTTGCCTTGTAAAGAGAACACGAGTACCGTGTGCGCCACTTTGTTGATTAACCATGTCTTTTCCAGGTTCGGTCTGCCTCAACAAATTGAGTCAGACAGAGGTAGTCATTTTACCAGCGAAGTAATGGCTAAGATGTGGAAAATTCTAGGTGTTAAACGAAAGCTGCATATTGCATACTGCGCTGCGTCTAGCGGGGGGGTTGAGCGATATAACCAGTCTATCGTTAATATTCTGAAGAAATATGTTAAGGAGTCTGGTAAAGACTGGGACATTAAATTGCCCCTAGTTTTAATGGCGATTAGAGCTACACCTAGCACTGCTACCAAATTGTCACCTTTTGAATTGATGACAGGAAGAAAGATGGTTTTACCACAGCATTTACTATATCGTACTTCGGATCATAACTTGATCAATGCTGCCACAGCACATCAGTATATCGAAGATTTGCAAAAGCATTTACAGCATGCATTTACTTTTGCCCAAAATAATCTAGAAAAAGCAGCGACAGGGGTTAAGACCTATTACGATTTAAAAACCACGAAAAAAGAATATGAGATCACAGATCAAGTCTATCTGTATAACTTTGCGCGAAATCAAGTTAAGGAAAATACATTTTTACCTTCTTGGAAAGGGCCATATGTCATTATTGACAAAATTTCCCCAGTAGCGTATAAGATAAAAATTCCTAAGGATGGTGATTTTATTGAAAAGTGGGTTCACATTAACCAGATGCGTGCTTGTCATCCTAAATCTCAATTAAGGATTATAGGTGTGGATTCGGACGCAGAAGGATGAACGACTAACCTGGATGAATGCTTGATTTACGTGGTATAGTATGATGTGAAATGTTGTGATGTGCTATGATCTCATGTACGTTCATGTCATTAACCATTTCCTTGCCATCCAATAACTACATTTTCTAAGCAGGTTACTAGCTTGTTTAGCTGCTATAGGCGAATTACTGAAGAGTCAGTAATAAATGTAGTGAGGGATGAAGTATAAAAATAGAATGTTGACGAATCGTAAAAATGTGTTGTCCTAGGCCAAGTGATGTCACACTGTTATAAGTTTGTATGCTTAACAAACCTTGAATCATTAGTAGATAAGTCTGAAACGAGTTCCTAATTCGTGACTGTCGAAAGATGTCCAAGAAGGAAGTGGCGTGTTTCTGGATCGTACTGCTCCTGTGCCAAGAGCTACGGACCGACCCGATCGCAGAGATGGGACCATCCTCCGGCATCCTGATTCAAGAGACACCAGGGTTCATCTTGACAGAGAAGAGGATCCTGACCCGACGTGTGTTCGTCAGCTTGGACCCCAAGATTTCCATTGAGAAGGCATACAACATTTCATCGATGCAACTTCCTGAGTTACAGACTTGGTACCAGATGCACCTTCAAAGAGCACAGGACCATGTGCGAAACATCTTGGAGCAAGCCCGGAAACCATTTGTATCCAGTTCTATTCGGATGAGCAACCGACCCAAAAGGTTCCTCGCCGCTATAATTGTTGCATTTGTTTGTGCCACTGTCAGTGCAGTTGTCGCAACTGGAATGTCTGCAGCCAACTCTATTACTGTCCAAAAGCTGGATATGGAAATCTATGCGCTAAAGCAACACATTAACGATATTCATCAGGTGATAAACCAGCAAAGAACCCTTCTCCAAGACGTGTTAACTATTGTGGAAGACACAGTTGTTACAACAAATTTGCATTCTGAGTTAATTGCCAAATCCACTGAGTTGCACCAAAGTCATGACTTATTTAAGCGTGATCTTCTATTTCTGCATGACCCAATATTGTTCCACACACTTGCTTTTCTTGACGAAGTGCAAACTGGAATGATTGAATTGGCAGGGAGACGCATACCTCTGTATTTTGTATCCAAGGATATTGTTCATGCGATGCACGTAAAAGTCCAAACCCCAGATGTTTTGGCTTTTCAACCGTGGATACCAGATTGGTATTCATTACCCATTTTGAATGACTGTGAGAAATTCAAAGACAATAATTTCCAATGTGATGGAAAACCTTTTGTGTACGATTCTACCAATGTTTTGTGTGGGATCGAGTACCTTAAACGTGGCTCTGAAACATGTCAAGTAATTATGTCAAAAACCGACAGTAATGCGTTAGTACATGCTATCTTAGTAAAAGATAAATGGTTGGTAAGCACGTGTCTTAAAAACATGAGTGTTTTTCGCAGGAACCAGGTGACTAATAAAGTAATTGCATTGATCAAGGTACCCCACGACTCTCGTATCACCATCGGTGACGTTACGCTATACCAGGTGTACACAGACATCATCGAAAGTGCTATTGAGATGGTGGATCCCTTGCAGAATCTAGATATCCCTCTAGATCCTAATCTAAAGTTCTTGCTGGACCATAAGCCCAACCACACTATCCAAATGTCAATCAGAAAAGATAACATTTCTGTGGACACATTTAAGTACTCTGAGCTAGATACTGACCTTATTGCTCGTGTTGACTGGTTCAACCATGTTAAGATTGTTATTGGGGGTACTATGTTAATAATAATATTATGGTTGATTGTACTAAGTGTAAAGTTCAAAGCTCTCACAGGTACATAGATATACAAAAATATTAATTCCACGCACGGGCCTACGTCAGTAGAAATGATCTGAGTGCACAATATGTCTGGTAACTTCTATAGTGCCTATTCATAGGCTAAATTAATCATTGCCATGAAAGGTCACTAAGGGGGGTTATGTCAGAATATTTATATCGGCAGACATTTTGTGCTAAAATAGAAATTAAAAGTGTATATTGCCACAGCCACTCAGAACTCAAAGCGGACTCCATTTTGCTATCTTCAGGATAGCAGAGACAGGGCCGGCCTTAGGGGTGTGCGAGCTGTGCGACCGCACAGGGCGCCATGGAACAGGGGGCGCCCTGTGGCCGACACAGCTCACTCATGGCCGGAGTGCAGGGGAGCTAAAAGAGGTACCTGGCTGGAGGATTAATTATTCTCCACCCGGGTCTATTTAAAAAAAAAAATAAAAATAAAAAATCGCGGCAGAGGGGGCGGGGTTTACCGAGCGGCGGAGGCGGGGCTTATCGAGAGGCGGAGACGGGGCTAATACCTCCTGAAGCCCCTGCTGTACAGGAAGAGGGAAAGATGCTTCCCCATCAGCCAACTGCATCCACTGGAAAGAGGTAAGTGTGTGTGTGTGACTGTTTG